GATATTTAATGTTTTGTTTAATTTTTTATCAACCTTTACAGCCATAGTACTTCATCCTATCATGGTTATAATCAATGTACAGGAAATAAATAAAGAACATGTTTAGTTTCATGTAAATATACTGCTTGTGTAAGTGATTTCTTTCAAGGACATAAGTTACTGCAGAATTGTGATCATGTGCTTGCGTTTCATTATGTATGTACAACATGCACACGTATGCATATTCAGGATTCTTTATGGATATCTTAATGAACACACACACACACACACAAGTGCGTGCACAACATACAGCGTGTACTCTTCGTGCATCACATCTCCTGTGTAACTTAAGAATATGCCGGTATGTGTATACTTTAGATAATTAAACTTCTTTTATAATATATATTTTTTGTTTAGTTTTAGTATATTTTTTTTTCCTTTTTTATTGTTATGGAAGATACTTTTTTAAATAAAGGAATGGCAAGATGAATACATGTGGTGTTGGCAACATCGTGACGGGGAAAGAGATGACAATAGTTTCTGTATTATCTATTTACTTATTCATTTACATATCTTTATCAGACATGAAAGTCTTGTCCATTAGTTTCCAACACTGGCGGAAATTTCCTTCGGATACAAATGCAAAAGATGGAATAAAATGATCCGATCCATCACTATACAAAACAGCATATATGGTAAAAGAAACGGAAGCATTTTTAGCTGACTAGCAAGCAATAAAAGTATGTACTATTAATACTGTATATATCTTTTCCAGTGCATGAATACAAAGCAGATGTTACTTACAATAACACTTTCACAAAAGTTCCATAGGTGAACACCTCACTGCTGGATCAACTGCTATTCACTCATTCACAAGAAACAATTTGCCCTCCATTCAAAATATTCATATATTTGTACTAAAACTTCCTCTGAAAGCAGCACAATAGACGTTAGCCAGGAGCCGCAGTCGGGTGGTTGGCAGATAGATAGAGTAAAGCATAAACTTCTCCTGCACTCCTTGTACTCCAGAAAGGGCGTTCACGCCCGTGGTCCTCGCCCTTCTGGAAGAGTTAACCGAAGCTGCATGTCTGAGGTGGCTTCTGTTGCCGAGCGCCTCAACTCTCATGATTTGAGGCTTTCATCCTCCGACCTCCGAGGGTGAAGCAGTGAGCTCACACCGTAGAGCGAGACGGAGAGCTGACTGGCGACACGCTGCTTCGTGGAGGAGAACTCTTCCTGGAAATCAGCTGATGGTACACTTTGTCGGACATGACCATCACCTGTTTGTTCGGCTCCGGGGGCGGGCTGCTTGAATTGGCCCTGGATCGCCCCGGGGAAGAAGGGGCGTGGGGAGGAGAGTGGTTGTTTGAATTGGAGAAGCTCGTCGTTCGCGATCGACGGCCGTTGGGAATAGGCAGCCGCGAACTGAGCCTCTTCTCTACCCACTTGAGCATGGTGAGGACAGCGTCTGTGTTGGGGAGACGGTAGGTAGCAGCCGTGCGCAGATTGGGAGAGGTCGTGACCCTGAAGGTGACCGCCATGCCCTGCAGCGCTCGCATGGCGTCCTCGTCTGAAATGTCATCGCCTGCGAAGATGGTAGAAACACGGTCACACCAGTCGAGGCCAAATAGTGTGCGCAGAAGGTAAATAGCAGCCCGACCATTGTCCCAGGTAACAGGGGGCCGTGTCTCGTATGCCATGGGAGACTGATAGACCTTAACCCCATTTGCTCGGAACAGTTCATGTGCTCGTGACATAATAGCTTGCTGTTTGTCCTCTGGTACCTCCCGGTAGTGGAATGTTATTCCCGATACCTTTTGTTCCAGCCATGCGCCATCTTTGCATACTTCCTCCTCCAGCTGCTTCTTAAGCTGTTCTAACTGGACCTCATATTCATGAGGTATAGGATGCATGAACAAAGTTCCATCTGGATGAAGAATTTCGAAGCCATGGCAACCGGCATAAGTAATGCCCTCGATTCCTATCATGGCTTTCACGTTTTGCATTGAACGTCCTGACAAGATGGCCACATTAACGTCAGGCATGTGAGCCAAGCGCTCCAGGACGCGACGGGTCTCCTCAGGCATCTGAGCCAAATCTGGATGAGGTGCGATGGGGGCCAAGGTGCCGTCATAATCTAGAATCAGAGCTAACCGTGAGGACTCTGTGACGTAAGAGGCCAGGAAATGACTGAAGTCTTCTTCTCTCAGTGGGAGGAGACGTCCTGGTGTAAGATTATTGTCTGCCAGACAGTCCACCGATTTGAGGAATGACTGAAGCCAGAAGTTCACATCATGTTCACGTTCACGATGACGAAGTTGCTGCATTCGAAGTTCTCTTTCATCCCTTGGCATGGTGAGGGCACGGTGCATAACTTCAGCAAATTCCGCTGTCTCATAAGGGTTCACTATCAGTGCCTCATGCATTGATGTTCCAGCACCAGCAAATGGAGATAGCATAAGAACACCTGGTTCGCCCACCTGGCATGCGACAAACTCTTTGGCCACCAGGTTCATGCCGTCCCTCAGGGGAGTTACCACAGCCACTGATGAGTCTCGGTAGAAGGCAGCCAGCTGCTCCTGAGACACACACCCGTAGATGTAGCGAATCGGCGACCAGTTGGGCGTCGAGAAACGTCCGTTTATTCTGCCAATTAACTGGTCGAGGTCCTCCTTCAGTTCCTGGTATTCCTTGACGTCCGTTCGGAGGCACTGCAACCTGGGAACGTGACGTGCTCAATGTGCTCAGGGTGCTTTTGCAGCAGCGTTTCGAAAGCGCGGATTCTGTGCACGAGGCCCTTGGTGTAGTCCAGCCTGTCGACACCCAGCAACAGCTCTGTCGTTCTTGACACCTGCGCGCCTTCTGCGGCTGACGAATCTGAAGGGAATGCTGATGGGCAGAGGGTGCACCGACACCGTGCGTCCGTTGTGCTCCACCAGCATCTGCTCGCGGTCCACGCGGCAGCCCAGACGCCTCTGGCAGCAGTCGATGAAGTTGAGGCAGTAATCCTCCACGTGGAAGCCCACGGAGTCGCAGCCAAGGATCCCCTGCAGGAGCTCATCAAGGGAGCCGCATGATGTCCCACGAGGGGAAAGGGATGTGCAGGAAGAACGCCATCTTAATTTGCAGGCCCAGCCTGTCGCACCTGTCCCGGATGCTGTTGGCGGCCATCATGAGGTGGTAGTCGTGGAGCCAAACGAGGGGAATGCTCTCAGGATTGGATTCCGATAAGCTCTGTACCGCCTCGACCGTCAGCTTTGCATTGCTCGGATTTACGCCTGGAAAAGAAAAATGATGTTTTAAGAACATACACAAACATGCAACACAACCTTAGTAAAATGAACTGATTCCCTATGAAGTAGCTTATGCTGTCATACGATTGTCCTTGTTGGTGTCTGTCTGTGGAATAAGGGGCATGAGAGTGCGTTAAAAGTAGCGTTACAGCAACCATTGTAGTAATTGTCAAAGAGAGTTTTCTGTGACATCATCGGTTTCACCTGCAAAAGTTTATAAGGGTCAGCGACTAAAGCTGGCAATAACCTCAAGTAACTGCCATATCAAGGTTGATTTTCAAATGTTGAGAAGTAATCTAAGCAGACTTAAAACAGAAGGAGAAGAAAGAGAGATGGACGGAGAGAGAGAGAGGGAGAGAATGAGTGAGTGACAGAGAGAGAGAGAGAGAGAGAGAGAGAGAGAGAGAGAGAGAGAGAGAGAGAGAGAGAGACAAACAGACAAACATCCAGACTGACCGTCAACCAACCCAATAAAAAACCACCGACAAAAATACAACCCAAGAAAAAAGAACCACCCCTTTCAAAATAAATAAATAGATAAATGAAAATCAAAGCGAAGCAAACGTACCTGCCAGCTCTTGAGACCTGCTGTAGGGGACTGATCATTAGGATTAGCTTCAGGAATTTCCACAACGCCGTCTTCTTGGTGCTGACCCGACCACCCCACCCACAAGCCCTTTGTCTCCACGACTACGGGGGCAACGGCTGTCACCAATCCGCCAGCGCTGTAAGGAAACGTGGGTGTGATTATACGCAAAGATTTTGTAAAGATATGTGCGTGTGTGATTGAGGTCTCATTTGGGGAATGGTTTTCTGGGTTGCAGAGTTCTTTCACGGTAATTCTGTGTCATTCTATACTCTTAGTGTTATCTCGAGGCTGGAAGTTCACGGAATCTAGTTGGGAAAATGTTCTACATGAAAAAGTCTTGATTGATAGGAAGCGGTTGAAACTTATATATAAAAAATACACTAATTTCATCCGTCTCTCTGTAAATCATATCACTTTCTAAATTCCAATATTCAAAAATTTCCCATTTCCATTCCCTCTTTCTCCAGCCTATTTAACAAAAAATGTGTTATTAGATGAAGCTTCGTGTTTGAAAACGGGACAAAAAATACCGTAGATTTTTATGTTGATAACATTTTAAGGAATCCGTATGGCATCTTATCATTTCTTTCTGAAACTTACTTTACGAATGTTATAATCATAATATTGTATAATCCACTATGAATGGTACACATTTAATTCTTACTGATGGTTTGTATCATATCATGTACTATATCATCACCTTGCTGTTATTAAGCATTTTTGGGAAATCTACAGTGGTCTTAGTTCACTATAAATAACCGCCAGATTTCACGCATTAGTGTAGGATGAGAACACTATGGTCTGAAAACCAGTTAACAAAGCGCCTGGCCGTCATTTCACAACTTTAATAAGGTAACAGTAGTCATGTCAAAGGCAGGGTACTGATGAGCTAGCAACTGCATTATTATCGAAAAATAGGAAAATCTATGGCACGACACGTTTGCAAATATACATTTAAATGATATTCTATTTCATCACTCACTTCTTTGAGTTTGTCTCTCAGCGATTGAAATTCGGTTGGTATATTACTAACCACCGTAATAATTCACATCAAACACTAAACAACTACTGAGAAGTAATGATAACTTTCCATGTAATAATAAGTAATGATCAACAATGATTAAATAACACGTATCCAATGCAAGAAAATGTACCCAAACACTGCTTGATGTATTCAGCGTCAAAGGAAATATACAAAAGGTCTTTCCTACTCACCAGTGCTTCCTCTCCATCTGTCCTGTCTCTGGGTTTTTCTGCACTGTGAACGGAAGCCTGTTGGCCACCACGACCATCGGTGAAGTAGAATTTATAACCATCTTGTCCTTAGTACTGGTCTGCTCTGTCGTAACCTGTGTACACTGGAGTGCTACGTTCTGTTAGTCTGTTGGCGACTTCTGTAGGTTTGCTGCCTCCTCTCGGGAACCGTTGTATATATACCTTCTGGGCTAGCCAACCGCAAGCGGTCACAGCCCCGGGAGCCAATCAGCTTCACTTACATAGGCGACGCAATTGAAACTGGTTTGGATCTGTTGTACTTTTCAACATTTTCCACCAATATAAAAAGAGAACTGGGTGAGGCGACATGTCTGGTGCAATTCGGGATCATTTATCTGCCAGACTAGACATGCGTATGATAAAAAAGTAATTTTTTGTAGTAATGAGAATCTTGGCCTTACTTGTCTGTCCTTGCCAAGCTACTGTTGTGTGCAAACTCCGTAGGGTTTTTACCCTGCGTACATTACTTAATCCTGCTTGTTGATCAGAGTATAAAGAATATATTAGGGTTAATTCCATTCAATCGACCTTTTACAGGAAATAAAAAAGTGTAACCTCATTGTAAAAGACAACTCAATTATTGTTACCATACGATATTTTATATATATAAACGCAATATTAACATAACAAACATTAACAACCTGGCGAAGGGCGGGGCCAAGTGTAAAATACAAATCATCAGCTGAAGCCTACTAGATAAACATTTCACTTAGTCTGCAAGGTATCCTTTGTAAGTGTTTGGTAATCCTATTCATTTTCAAGGCTATTGCCCACTAAATTCATGTATTTTTTCATTTTCTTATTGATATCATCTTTCCTCGTGCAGCCCACTATATAATTTTCCTTTTTCTTTATTTTGCTTGCTCGTGTAGTCTACTAAATTATTTTTCTATTCTACTTTTTCCCCCACCCTCGTGTGCGCTCCCTTTTATTCCTTTATTTGTTTCTCCTTTCCTCGTGTAGTCCACTGAATCATTTCCCCTTTTTTCCTTTTTTCTTTTTTCTCCCCTTTTCTCGTTTACGTCATTTGTTTTTTATCTCCTTCCTTCATCACCATAGTGGATCAGCAGGTTTCTCAGTCGTTCGCACGAAAAATTCCGGTTCTGCGAAGCGAAAACGTTTTAAACTGCTCTCTGTTTACGCGCAGTCTTCTGACAGTAGTGTTGCTGCTGATGTTGTTGTTCGCCTTAGCAGTAGAGGTCTGTGTTGATTAGTTGTATTGCAGTGCAAATACAAATATGAAATGATGTTATTATGTAAAGGATATAGCCTACTCTGTTCGTAGAATTTTGTATTCTTACATCTATACGTATGCATCAACGAAGATGGTAAAGTACTAAATGTGCTAGCATTAATTTGTCTGCAAAGGTAATAATAACGATAATAATGATAATAAGGATAATGACGGTACTAATGATAATGATGATGATAATAATAATGACCATGATAGTGATAACAATGATGATCATGATAAAACAGTAACGATAATAATAATGGTAACAGTTATATCGATAATGATAATAAGAATAGTGATATTAGTGATGATGATAATGATATGCAGTTGCATGAAGAAGTTTGCTGGTAACATATTGCAAGCTATGTGATATATGTAATACATACTTATAAAACACACACACACTTATGGCTACTCATTACCATCATATGAAAATCAATCACATCATTACACTTACAATCGTTCATCTGATTTCCTGGGTTGACCGCTTGTTTACTCCTGTGTTGGAGATTGGCTACGTGCCCCTGACATGATTGTTGGAGCGTTGCTTTCTCTTTCCCTCCTCCTTCCTTCCCCTTTCCTGTTTCTCTATCTGTCTGTTTTCTCCTCTTTCATCTCTCTCTCTCTCTCTGCTTGTTGTCTGTCTGTTCTCTCCTCTTTCCTTTCTCTCTCTCTCTCTCTCTCTCTATCAATCTAACTATCTATCCATCCATATATCTATCTATCTATCTATCTATCTATCTAACTATCTCTCCATCTCTATCTTTATCTCTCTCTTTTAACAGAATATCAAAAGTGCACATGGCTGCCATGCCCCGTGCCAGGTCGTCTGCACCGCTTTCCCAGTCTGGCACTTTCCCTTGATCCTGCACGGTCTCAGGCGCTGGCACTCCTGCCGCTGCGAAAACTAATGACAGAAAACTGATAGCTTGTCAACAATCAGTAAGGAGTTCCTCGTCTATTGAAACTGAACAAACGGGCAACAAATACTACCTATCAATCTCTATACTTACATACATGGAAACACACACACGCACATATTTATATGTATAGACATGTGTATGCGTGATTTTTGTATCTGTGTTTGTGTACAGTTCTCTCTCTCTCTCTCTCTCTCTCTCTCTCTCTCTCTCTCTCTCTCTCTCTCTCTCTCTCTCTCTCTCTCTCTCTATCTATCTATCTATCTATCTAACTATCTATCTATCTATCTATCTATCTATCTATCTATATATATATATATATATATGTGTGTGTGTGTGTGTGTGTGTGTGTGTGTGTGTGTGTGTATTATGTATACACATACACATACACACAAACACACACACACACACACACACACACACACACACACATACACAACACACACACACACACACACACACACACACACACACACACACACACACACACACACACACACAC